AGAATATGTACTTGAATTTTAGATTAGAAAGAATTCTGAAAGAAATCACCAACTCATATAATTTCTTCACAACCCTGCTTTTGTTCAAGAAAATACCTTGTCATGCCATAACATTATGATCTTCAAAGCAAAAAAAAAAGTCTTACCCAGTAAAATTCTGTATCTTAGGATTTAAGAAAATATTTTTGACCAAAATACAGAAATATATCCCAGAACATTGATTTCTTTTTAATTAAAAGACATAATTATTACAATTTAATAAATTTGGAATTAGAAAAAGATGTTTCTCTAAGGGAATGAGACAGGCAGTTCTTCTGAGAATGGAGAATCAAATAGGCCTGCAGACCCAAGGCATGCTTCATTCCTTCATCCAGAAAACTATTACAGCTGAAAAAGAGTTCATTCTGGGCTGATGTTAGGAATGGATAGTATTTCCTAAGAGCCTTGAGGAGTCAGTTCCTTCCTGAACCTGGCAGCTATGCAGGTGTTCTGTAATCCTCTTCCTTTCTTGAAGGAAGCTCTTCTAGTTTGTCTAGATATGAAGCCTGTGGTTCCAGATAGTGACTGTCTACTTTACTAAACTCTTCACCTAGACAGACTATTTCCCTGGACAGAAACTCAGTTCAATTTTTTTTTTTTTTTTTCAGGGAACCAGTGTGTAGGGCAATCCATTTCTTTTCTTCCAAAGCAAAGGCCATTCTTAATATAAGGAAACCTTCTGGGCTCATGATATCCTGGGAACTTTAAGAATACCTGGGTGTACTCATAATTGGGCTGAGGAGATCTCCACTTGCTGCAACTGCAGAGCTGCTGTTACCCAACCAAGTCCTGGTCAGGCTGATAATTTATCAATAGGAGCAAAGACACAAGGGAAGTGAGGGGAATCAGGCCAATTAATTCTTTACAACAAGTTTTATTTACTTTTCTTTGACCCCCCCCCCAACATTAAAGTTGTTCATCTTCTTTTATTTTTAATGGTTTTCCTTTTGGATCCAAACGAGCATTTATATTACAAGGTATCCACCTGATCAACATGCAGTGCTGAACTCTGGCTTTAGGTGAGATGCACCGATACCCTGGGTGGGCCAGCATTGACTGCCATTCAGTCACACTACTGCAAGTGTGTCAGGCTGGCACACCCCAGCGGATGCTGCCCATAAGGGGGCATCTCACGGGTTTGACTCATGTATGTTTGATAATGCAGGTGGCAGCATTGTTACAACCTGAGGCAAAGCACCCAGTTTCTCTCTTGATCCTTGATTCCTACATGCTCATTCTCTAAGAGCAAATCAAGGCCTAGCCTTAGGTCCCAAGGGACAGAGGGTATGAGCTGGGCACCCTGTTGTCCACTTTCTTGTAGTGTTACCCTTGGAGGGTAATACCGGTGAACCTTGCCATTCAAAATCTATTTCTTATAAAACTGCCCCACTCACCAGCTCTCCTTCCCTCCTACTGTGTGCATACCACTAGGAAGGTTAACATAATCTCTCCATTATTATATGAATTACTAAAGTCATAGATTGTCTTTGGGCTGCTTTTTTTCCCTTCCATCTTTCAGATCTAGAAAGGATTTTAGGGGATCCTCTAATCCTCTGAGGATTCAAGTCCACTAGTTTAGATCAGTTTACCAGAAAGAACCTCTCCGAATCTGACATCATGCTAGAGAGTTTATTAACAATCTAAGTAAAAAGGAGGCATCAGGGTCAAACATCTTTAAGTCTATCCTTTTTGTGGGACTTTTTAATAACTTCCACCTCAACTTTGTTCTACAGTGTGTCTCTTCCAGTACTCACTCGTCCCAGCTATGAATCGTCAAACACATTTGAGGCATTAAGTATTTCTCTTCCACTGGTTTTTCTGGGTGAATTCCAAATCTTGGACTCAGTGTGAATGGACTTGGACTGCTTTCTAATGTCACCAAGAGGGAAGTTCCTCTGCAATTACAGCACTTGGGGTGGCTTTGTATAAATTTTGGATTGTTCGCAAAACACCACGATAGAAAAACACTGACTAAAGTTCAACCTGCAGGCTAAGTATATATCCCCATTGGTAGCCATTAAAATGCAATGCCTATGTTTTTACTAAACCCACTGGGATCTGCTTAATGGTATACAACTCAGTATCAAATGTAACTAAGACCAGAATTATTGTGTACTTTAATTGGCAGTTAAATGACATTGTTTAGCCCTCATTTCATACTACTATTATTTTAAAAAATTGATTAATGGCACTTTGACATGTTGAAGTGAGTTTTCCTTGCTCATCTCATAAATGTCCTTGATATGCTTGTTTTAAGCATTAGTGCTTATGAAATATAGGTTGTTGCCATAAGAAATCAGAATAATGAAAAGAAAACAATTGAGTCATCATATCAGGTCAATGTCAGACATGGCAGATGTGACTGGCTTAGTCTCCTTTTAAATTTGGGACCATCCTCTGAGGGAACCAAAGAGGAAGTAGCAGCCTGTCTGGTCCAAGGTCATGTATCTCCTTCATAGAATATACAGAGTGATCTATTTTTACATCTAGAAAACTTGCAAGCAAAAGGAGGAAAAATTTAATCAGCTTTCAACCCAGGTTGCAGAGGATGTGCTGTGCGGGTGAAGATCCTTTGTGGTAGTTTGTGGTTCTTTGATCTCTGCTGTGCCCACAAAGAGAAGATAATACCAGGAAGTTTGTTGAAGGAAAGCTCCTTTTCTTTGCCAATTAATGAAAAGAGTCTGAGAGAGCTAACATGAACAGACAAACGGAAGGCAAAATTAAAGCAGTTCTTAGTTTTGGCTTCCATTAAACCCGAGGATTCCTTTAAAAATTAAATGCTTATATAGCAAATGCCAAGAAATTTCTAAGTCCTTGGTGGGATTTAATGAGCAAAGTTTTTTCTAAATTGATTTGTGGAGACTGAGTGCATTATACATTATTAACTGACAAGCACTTAACACACACATGAACTAGCCATGTGCTGGTATTTCAGTTTTCCTAATAAGGAAAAGAAAAATGGATGCAATACCCTTGCTGAAGGCACAAATTAGTTGTGAAGTCTGGATATAATTCATTACTTTTAACTTCCTATAATGTTAATTTATCAGATTGGTATACAGTTTACAAAATTATCTTCTTATCAAGGCATACATTTTTTATTTATTGGTTAATGATGTTCTGAAAAAAATTCTGGGTTTTATAATTTCCTTGACTTTCACTGATTTGGTGGGAAGGGCAAATTTTCCTAAATCCAGGTTATATTTTAAGCCCCTCAAAAGAGGAGAGACGGAATAGTCACAGAGACCAAAGCCCAAGGTACTTATGACAGAGAGGGAAAAGAAGACTAGAGACTGGAATAGAGACTGGAGGAGACAGTAACAGATTTTTGACTCAATTATCCTAGCATTAATTTGACAGAAATTAATCTTAGAAGAGAAGCAGATTTAGAACACTATAGAACACAAATTCATCCTTCTTTGCTATCCCAGAGCAGGCCTGTTACAAAATAATCTATCAACTAAAGAAACCATCTATCAACTAAAATAAACCGCCAAACAGATAAAAATAAATATTAATTCCAACACTTCTTTCTTCTTGGTCTACCCAGCTCTCTCAAAGCTCCACAAGTTAGAATTTGAACCTCAAGAACATACTTACATAGTAGTATGGCTTATTATAAAGTCTCTTTTTGCATTTAGGTCAGGGCACTGACACTCCTATACATAGCATGACAGGAGTGTGTGGGTGGATGGACACTTAGAAAAATAGAAGGGCGGAGCTCTCCCATCCCTCAGGCCTTTCCAGAAACGCCAGTAGACTTTTCTGGGAGTGTCACTCACACTTCTCAGCTGACTTGAACTCTGCTCAGAGATGCTTTCCAGGCCCTTGGGATAGGTTGGGACAGCTTGTAAATTTTCTCTTTTTGGCTTGGTGTAACCTCTCATAGAAGGTCATATCAGTTAGGAAAAAGGGTGAAAAAAAGATTCAAGGAAAAGAAAAGGTGGCCACCAGAAAAGGTGGCCACCAGAAACCAAAGAGTTCTTTCTGTTTTTAGTCCTTTGTACCCCATGTAGTACATCTATGTGCTCTGGGTGAGCAGTAGCACATGACAGATGACAAGTCTTTGGCCAGCAGAGAAGTTATCAGCAGCTGCTCTGTTTGGGACAGACCCAGCTAGGACATCCTGGGTGGTTCAAAGAGGAAAAACTGGAAAAAGCTCCTGGTACAGGCGGAACTTAACATGAGACCACTTTTGATCATTTCCTGGAAGTTAGATCATAACCCCTGAGTTAATTTTGTTTGGCTTTTGTTAAAATAAGTGTCTCCATGTGGCAATATTTAAAGATAAGTCATTTGAGCTGGACCTGATTCCTTAGGGGCATTTTCCTGGAGTACATCATGCTGTGACTGGCCACTTGCGAGTGACAACCTTTCCCACTTCTTCCTTTCTTCCTACACCACAAAGTGCTCTCTTGTGCCTCTTGAACAGTGTGCAATGTTCTTAGGGCCAGAAGGGAAGGACACACAGGCAGGATAAGGAATGGGGTTGCTTTTTCTCACTAGTCTTGGAGAGTATCGAAATATAACAGATAAGACACTGGTAAAATAAAAATCGCAGTGAAAGTTCTTTAACCTTCAAGTCTCATAAAATCTCTGGAAGGCAGGATACTATCTGCTTTGCATATGTTCACCATTTCTTGACATATAATTTAAAAATTGAGGCTATAACTGAGCTGAGAAATGAGTTTCTCAACCTCTCTCTAGCTCCACCCACTTAAATATTCTGTCCAAAATTGAAATATTGCAGGCTTCAGAAATAGAAGCCATGAGAAATCGAAATGTTTGTTTTTGAAAACTCAAAATTACTTGAAAATTTTGTTCAGAAGAGGCCCAATTGCTCTGCAGTGAGCCTTCATTGAGTACATGGGTATTTTATGCACACCTTACACCTCATTTTAGATCACCTGGTGGACTCCTGATGATATTTCATTAGAAGGAAGCATTCCTTAACAGCAAAGGGCACAGCAGAGGCAGCTACACCAGCACATAAGCTCAGATTTAATCATCTCGATAGTTTGGCCTGTGCTACCATGCAACCAAGCACAGAGTGAGATAGAAGACCAGAGGACGTTCCAGTTCACCACCTGGGTTCTGCAGTGGTGGTGGGCTGGATGGAGATGGGAAAGGGAGATGCTGACTGAAGGCTGGAGTATGAGGTATTTACGTCTTTGTGGCCTCAGAGTGAAGGGAGGGAAAGGTTCAGAACATTTGGAGTTAGCTTCAGGGAGACGTGTTTGGTGCCCTCGTATTCTATGAGGAACAAGTGGGAAGTAGATGTGAAGCCTGCAGCAAAAATAGACTCTTCAGCTAGAACCGTGGTACAGCCTCCCAAGGGGCAACTGCCATCCTGGCTCACATGGAACCTGGATACTGAAAGGTGTCATCCCTTCACAGACAGGTGATTTTCCTGACACACAGAGCACTGTGGCCAGAGCCTCCCACACATCTGGAACTTGTGCATTCTTTTACAGATGGAGAGGTGGTGATATGCACTACTGTCTAGTGCCTTAAGTTGAAGAGGCGTGCGCAAACGCAAACCTGGTTACACTACCTCCCTGCCTGGCTTCTTTTCCTCTTTTAATTTCCTCTCTCCTTCCTTCTCTTGCTTTGAGGTGATAAGGACTAACATTCACTGGGGTAAAAGGACATCTGACTAAAGAATTGTCTAAGGAGATTTCCAGTACCCACATTTATCATGCTGTGTATCAAAAACTGCAGCTATCATTCTCAATGCGAAGAGAAGCGCAGGCTTTGAGAAAGGGGCTTCCTTTTAAAGAAAGAAAGATTCTGATACCTAGGAAGGGAAGTCCTAGCCAGCTACAAGGGAGAAGGATGGCATCCATGTTTATTAGGAAACACTAGAAAACCAAAGATACGAAAATAATGAGCTTGTCACTCAACAGAAATTCTTCTATTATGTCCTGGTCTTAACAGAAGAATAAGTCAGGCTAAGGGAAGAGAATCCCAATTTCTCAGGGAAGTTGAAGAAGCATGTTTGTAATTTCATCAGTACTAGAAAAAGCAGGTGATTGGTCAAGTGAGCACATCTGCAGCACTTTATAGCTATAATGCTTCACTTAAGGTTGTGTGTGTGTGTGTGTGTGTGTGTGTGTGTGTGTGTGTGTGTGTGTGTGTGTGTGTGTGTGTGTGCAAGGAGTGTGAATGTGCAGGAAGTTCTCCAGCAGAGTTAATTTAGTATTCGTGCTATTCTTTGCAGGCAAATTTCATTTCTGGCCATTATGTTGTCAGCCCACAGTTCTCCTACTATAGGGATGGCATGAAGTATCTCTGCAATTGGCTTTCTCAAAACACCATCCAATGGGCTCAGTGGATCGGAACAGTCATCCTGTGCAGGCCTACCTCTAAGGAAAACTACATGTCCAGGGTAGATGAAAGCAATTTTGTACACACAAAGAGGCCCATAGCATCACTTTGGCATGAAATGAGGCTGAGTGGAGAAAACTTTAAAACAAACACAAGGCCCAGTATCAGACCTATGGAATGATCACACCTGATAGGACCATACTCACTTTCCCAGCTTCCCCTGAGTACACATGAACTGAGTGGGAGAGGACAATGTAGGTGGAAGTGAGTGAGTCTGAGACTAAGGGGCCTATTATCCTGGGACTACTTTGGTTTGGGGCTGACCATGAGTCATGTAGCTCCGTTGGTACTTAGAAGTGGGATCGTGACACTCTGCAGCCAAATGGGGAAGGTGGCTTTTCAGAGCTGATGCTCTTATGCCTTATTTCTTTGTCAACCAAAGGTTAGAAAGAGTGGGGGAAATAGAAAGGAAACAACTTCCTAAGAGAAGTTCCTTCTAAGAAAAAGGACTGCTCCTACAAAAGACTCCCATAGGACTCTGCTTAGCCTGGGAAAGGATAAAGAGTGTTCATCCACTGAGCTCTTAGTGCAATGTCAAGTCTCCCTAGACAGAGTCCTGTACAGAGGCTGGGAAAGAGCATCCCTGCCCAATGCTCCTCCCTAAGGCATCTGTTCAACTACTCTGATGGTACTAGGGAGAGGCTTAAGGAGGTGATACATTCCACAGAATGGAGCTCGCTACTAAATATCAACAAAAGTGACTAGCTGAGGAAGGCCCTCTTTTCCCTCAAAGATTGTTTTTGGGATTAGGAATGGCTTAGCAGCCAAGGCTGTATTTTGCCCAGCTTTTATTCTGGGGAGGGGTAAAACCCAGCCCTGGCCCAGGCAACATTCAAGGAAGGTGGGGGGGTCCCCTCAGAGCCTGCTTTGCTAACAGGAGCAGGCAAGGTCAAAGCTGAGGTATAGTTACTAATCACCTTAAAGTGTCCTCATCAACTGACCCCTAACCCCAACCAACCCAGCTACAGAATGTTTCAAGCCCAAGAATGCATCCTCAGGGAGGTCTTCAGCCTGACACCTTGAGGGAGGGTTTTCTCCTTTTAGACTACTAGTCTTTTCATCTTTGTAGAAGTCCCTACCATGTATTGGTAACCCTGTGGACGTGCGTTCCCTATGCATTTGGGGGAGTGGCAGGAAAGGCCTGACTACTGGTACTTGATCACGCTGGGTTTGGCTCAGCACTAGCCTTGTTGCTTGACAGAGGCCCACTGTCTCTAGTCCAGTGTGGTCACAGCACTTATCAATACAGAAGTCCTTCTATGCCTGATGGAAAACTGACTCTGCCTTGCATCCCTTAGGCCTCCCCAGCCATCTTGCCCTTACACCACTGGGAGTCCCCTTGACCAATATCTAAAGGGCCAAGGCTGATAAGGGAGTTCCCACACTGTGGCCGAACTCTTCTGTGGTCGGTGCCCTGGCCATTGGCATTAGTATCACCCTTACCAGAGCTTACAGGCATCTTTGTGGGCCCTGGTGAGCCTCTTTATCGAGCTTACCTACTGCAGCACCTACTATGTGGGTGACAGACCTCAAGATCTAGGACTATACCCACCAGCACCTCCAGTTCTGTTTCTTTGGCCCTCACCTTCATGGTATGGGCTGCTGGGCTATGGCTTTTCTCACCCAGACCAGCCCTTGCTGCTGTTACCACAGCACCCTGGTCCCTTCTACTCTGGCCCATCTCTCACTCCCTACCTCCTCCCCTTGGCATCCAGTGCTCCTGCCTGAGCTTTTGCTTCTTTGGAGGAAACAAGCTACAAGATAATGCATGAGATGCTGCTGCAGTTGCTCTGGTGGCAATGGTGACCACACAAGAGCTGGCGAGGAAGAGATTCTTCTCCTACTGTCTCCACTACTCCCTAGTTAAGAAGCCAGAAAGTCTTCCAGGCTGCTTAGAGCAATGAGCTTAGACACAGGTTAGCCAGATCCCTCTGTAGCTTACAGAAAAGTAGAAAGGGCAAGGGAAGCCAAGCCACCCTCATGTCCCTTCTCCCATGGGAATAACCCTCCATATTCCTGTATTTTCTTCCCCCAGCAAAAAGGCAGAACTATGGCAGTGCCCATCTTGCAAGGGGAAATAAAGCAATTTTGTGGGTTTGACTGGTTTTCCATCTGTTCTTTACTTCCTCTTCTCGGAGGATGCATGGCGTCCTTTTCCATCTTTCTTTCTCCCTCTTCCTCCCCCCCGGGCCGCACTGGCTTCCCAATTTGGTCTTGGTTTTCTCCCTGTGAGAGAAGAGCATGCATCGGAGGGGGGAGCAGCCTCTAGCACTTGTCATCTTCTTCTGTGTCACTCAGGAGGTCACTGACAGCTCCACACATCATGCCTGGCCCAGGCCCCCCACGCCTCCGACGCCGATAGTGCCCATTGGGCATCTGCCAGCTGTGCCGCAGGGGTGGGGCCGAGCCAATGGTGTTGGATCGGCCCAAGCTAGTAGCCACGGCTGCCTCGAAGGTGAGTGTCTCCTCCTCGCCACAGTCTGAGGTGTGGGAGTCTTCATGGAGGGCCAGGTAGGGCTCGGAGATGTAGTGCTGTGGGGAAGAGTGCTGGCCCTGCTGGGGGTGCAGGGAGTTGGAAGACTCGGTCAGGCAAGCGCTGTTGCTCTCCAGGGCTTGAGAGGCCAGTGGGGATCCACCCTCACTTCCATTGGGAGGTGGAGAGATGCTGCCAGCATGTCGCATCAGGGAGCTGTAGGAGAGGAGGGGCCGAGGCTTTGGGGGGACAGGTGGAAGCTGGCGATGACTTCGTCTTGGGGTGCTGGTGTCAGAGATGGAGGGGATGGAACTCTCACTCAGGGAACCAGTGCCCTGCATTACAGGAGAGACATGACAGATGAGGCTCCACTTGGTGGTATATCTACTTAGAGCCTTTTTAAAGTCCCCAAGCCTCATGCAGAAAAGATCTATGAGTCTAGAGTAGGAGGTCTGAGAGGGAGGCACTTGAACTCTTCACACCCTTCAAGGACTCAGGGATTAATTCAGTAGATGTTCTGGTGTAGAAGGCATCAGATTGTCTCTGGATAACCAGTTCAACTACAGATGCAGACTTAGCAGGGCTTGGTCGGGGGTGGGTAGTTGTAGTGATGGTGGTGGTGGTGATGGTGGTAGTGGTGGTGATGATGGTGGGGGGGGTGGGGGTGGTGGGGGTGGTGGTTGACAACCCTGAGAGTGTGTTTCCACAGAACAACGAGTGTCTATCAAAGATCTGAAAGCTCCATATAACAAGGGGACACACAGGAGGATCTTAAAGTTCTAGGAGAGATAATTTGGGGAAAGGTGAATGAATTCTCTGGAGTTGTCTGGGAAACTGGGGAAGTAAGTCGAAAGGAAATTGTCTGGCCTCTTCCTCAGCAGTACCTTGCTGACCTCAGCTTCTGTACCCATCCATCTATTAGCTCAGGCCTTGCTTGCTTTTCCTCACCTATTCCCAAGGGTACCTGAGCCCAGATGTTGTCAAATAGAGTTCAGGACTGGTCTCTTAAGATGTAGGAGACCTATGACCTACTTACTGAGAATTCTCTGGGGAGAGGTCCTAGCAGATGCAGATTTCGGGGTCTGATTTTAAAGAACAAAAATCCTTGAGATCCCAGGAATGCATTATGCTAGCATGCTCTGGAGATGGTTCTGTTCTGTGGTGACATCCGTAAAGCACTCTTCCCTAGGAAAACTTCTCTACTACTTATCTTTCAGAATTGGCTTAGCAGCTCTCCCTTTCCTGGATGACTATTCTACTGAATGAATCTCCCCTCTGGACTCAAAGAGAAGAAGCTGGGAGTGAGGGGTGATGCTGAGCCAAAGAACACCTTTATATAGCTGATATTTCTTAGGCATAGTCTGGGGTTTTAGCAAACGACTGGAAGAAGAGACATGGTGCTTCTCTTGCAATAGCTGCATAATAGGTCAACAAAGTTGAATTGCTTGGCTTAGGAATCTTGGCCTGAGAAATGAATCATCATTGCAACTAAGGGTCACAGGAAAGTCAACCTTTTTGGATTAAAGGACCATCTTTAACTCTTAAATTTAGCTGTATTTGTATGTCTGGATTCTGATGGGAACAGAATGACTTCTGGACATTGTCTTGTCTTTCTTTAGGGAAAAATCTCATTCTCTGTTGAGTTCTTTTTTGAATATGTGAGAAGAGAACACTTGTCCTCTCTGTATGGTGGTTATTGCTTGTGAACATCAGGGCTCTCAGCCCTACATGAGGTTGGGGACCACCCTTCTGGTATAGCAGCCCTTCCTTCCCTATCCCCTCCCCATGCTCACCTGTCTGTTGGGGGTCTGTGACCTGCTCTCACTAGGTGACCTTGATTGGCGACGCTCTGGAGACTCCCAGTCAGCCTGGGTCCCTCGCTCCTCTGAGTTGCAGCGAGAGACATCAGGGGAGAGAAGATGCTTTCGTTCTTTAGATCGGCCCCGCTCTCTACCTCCAGAGCGGTGAGTGTCAGACTTGTGGCCTATGAGAGAGATGGCAAAAGCAACTGGTTATCTCAGCTCACTCTGACTGCAAAAGAGGAATTCCAAGCTATGAATCACATCCCAGCATGGATTAGCCACTGTGAACTGAATGCTTGTGTCCCTGCAAAATTCAGTGCTGGATCCTAAACCGTCAATGGAACGGGGAGAGGAGGAAGAGACTTTGGGAGTAACTAGTTCAGGAGGATGGGGCTCTTGTGATGTGATAAGTGCCCAGAGATAGCATGCTTCCTATCTCCTCGCTCTCTACCCTATGAGGACACAATGAGAAGACAGCACCTGCATACTAGGAAGGGAGTCCTCACCAGACACTAGGTCTGCTGTCACTTTGACCTTAGTTTGTCCAGGTTCCTGAACTGACTAAAGCATCCTGCCATCTCCAGGAAGGTCAACAGCTGATTTGAAAGGAAAGTTGGAGAGAAAGAAAAGTTAGAAAAATTTCCTTCGGTGAGTAGGCAAGCCTTCGAGGTGCTCCCGAAAAGACGTGTATCAAATGACTCTGTTCTCTTCTGCTTCTTTCATGCCAGACATTGTAAACGGTTTCTCTGCCAGTAATGTCAATATGGCTCAGCAACCCTGTGTCCTACATGGACTGGGGAAGATGGCATTAAGAAGGTTCTATGAATGAAACGACACACCAAAGTAATGCCAGGGTGAGAACCCTGGGACTAAAGTCAAAGGATCTCAGTTCTAGTCCTAATACTGCCACTTACTAGCTCTGGATATGGTGTAAATCACTAATTTCCAAGTTAAGTTCCTTTACCTAGTAAAATAGGCTGAATGAGGCTAGTGATTTCTTTTTTCTTTTTTTTTTAATTTATGTGTATGAGCATTATGCCTGCATGTATGTAAGTGCACCCATGTCGTTCAGTGCCTGTGGAGGACAGAAGAGGACATCAGATCCCCTGGAACTGGAGTTATGGATGGTTGTTAGCTTCCATGTGGGTGCTGGGCTTCAAAACCAGGTCTTCTGCAAGAACAGTCAGTGTTCTTAACCACTGAGTTATCTCTCCAACCCCAAGACTAGTGATTTCTAAATTTAAAAAAAAAAAAAGCGGTATAACAAAGCAAGAGGCACCAATGAGATTTAACACAGGAAACAATTCCAGGTAATACTGTTTTGGTGGAAGTGGAGTTGGTGGCAAAGCTCAGCACCCCTCTCCAGGGGACTTCTACTACATTCCTCTGGAATCTCAATGGCTTTGCATAAGCCTATGTGAAAACACTGGTAAGTCACATCAGCATTTATGGTGAATCACATCAGCATTTGTGAGGAATACACAGGGCTTGGGTCTGTTTCAGGATGATAGAGATGTGAACCTACTTTGGTAAGGAACATTCTTCCTTTACTTTGTGTCCGTGTGAATGCATATGCATGTGCAGACAGCGTATGGAAGTTAGAGAGCTTGGTGTCAGTCCTCACTTTCTACCTTGTCTGAGACAGTGTCTCTATGTTGTTTGCAACTGCGTATACTAGGCTAGTTGGCCTGTAAGCTTGGATTCTCCTGTCTCCATCTCCCATCTTGTCATAGAAGCACTGGGATAACAGATATGGGCTACAGTGCCTAGCTTCATGGGGGTTCTAGAGACTTGAACTCAGGTCATCGCACTTGAACAGCATGTGTTTTACTCACTGAGCCATCTACCCAGTCCTTCCTTCACTTTCTTAAACCTTTGTCTTTAACTGAATTCTGTTCCAGTTATCTGTGATCCTTGCAAGAAATAAATCCAAAAGAGGCAGATGCTGAAGACTCTCTCACCAGAGTCAGAATTCAGGCGGTGTGCTGACAGCCGCAGGGAGGAGTGGTAACTTCTGCGCCGTGACTTGTAGGTGTTTTCACTGCTTCGCTCCATGGAGAACTCCTCCAACCATGAGGAATTTGAACGCTTATCCCGAATTGTAGAAAATGAACGTCTCATAGAGCTAGGGTCTGTCACCACCTGCAAATAACCCCCAGAGGAACACAAGGCCTGGATTAATTATTGAAAGAGCCTAAAAGTCCAGACGTGAGGCTGAAACTGCCAAGAACTATGAACTGTAACCCCTAGAAATTGTCACTTCTCTTGAATCTTTTTGCAAAGACCTTGGCTAAAGAGGCTGTTCAAGAAAGTGTCCTTTGTTAACAATCACCAGAACTGGCCGAGGATTGTCTCTGTCTTCAGGAATACAAACAATTAAGTGTATTAATGCCATGACGATACAGAATGTAGGCAGGTCCTTGCAAGTGCCCCATAACCAGCTACCATTTGGTATAGTCAGGATCTGCTGTAAATACTGAGCCACTTTAAAATAGGTGACAGCAATTGCCCAAAAGGAAGCACGGCTTTCTCTTTCATTTTTTTCACTCAACAGAGAAGGCCCTTCCTTATAGCATTATAGCCCAGGATAGCTTGATACTTAACTACTAGGAAGATAATACCCTCCTTCTGCCATCAACCCCAACCTAGCTACCCCACCCCCACCCCCCAGCAAACTTTGGTATTCAGATTGCCACAGATATTAAAACAGAACTATAAAAACTTCTTGTCTCTGTCAAAACTTGATGTAAGACAGACAGACAGAGGCCAGGAAAACAGACAAAGAAATGAGGCGTGGCCTGTACCAGTTAAGACAGTCCTGACATAGAGCAGTGTGGACACATAACTCATATGTACTGGAGAAGCCAGGGAAAGAGATAAAGGGATGACAAAAATACACAGAGAAAATCTCTCTTGCTTGGCTGATTGGGTCCTAAGAATGCCTAACCCAGTGCAGGGGAAGTTATGCCATTTTGTTGAATAGGCTTTTGAGAGCAAGGGTTCATTGAATCATACTGTGGAGGAGAAGACTACATTAGAGATGGTCCATGATCCAGGTTTTGCTTATATAGATAAGGTGTATGAGAAAGTCCAGGGCTTACCTGAAGATATCAGGTATTTCATGACCCAACTAATAAAGCCTGGGATGGCACTGCATAAGTTAGGTGGTGTTTGAGTTTTACCTGGGGATCCATAGTCAGACGTGGCATAGAGGATGCCCTCCCAGATCCCGCATGCTCCTGGGTGTCCGAAGGAAGGTAGATGCCATGGTTAGAGGACTGCACGCTTTTTAATTCACTAACCTCTGGCTCCTGGAAATAAACACACAGCCAAGCTTGTGGGACTTGGTTCCATCTAGTTGCTTTTCACCTCCCATGGATGATTCAGCCTCTGTAAGAATGGCTTTCAAGAAGGGAGACTGATGTTTCTAAGGCCTTAGTTGTGCATGAGTGTTATGCCTGCATATATATAAGTGCACTCATGTTGTGCAACCCCATGGAGGCCAGAAGAGGGTGTGTTCAGTATACCAGATGTCCCAAACAGAAAGTTCTGTGATGAAAAGGTGATAATCACCTTTTTCTTTTCAAATGCATTTCAACACTAAGTAATGCTTCAGGTATTATAGCTTTATGAAAGAAGCATTTTGCTCATCAGATGTTACATATGTGAAGTATACATTCTGACAGATGTGTTTATTCTTTGAAGCCTTTTATCAATTAAATAGGAACCAGGATTTTAAAGGAAGTTGCTAATTATCTGATATCACATATGTTATGGGTTTATTAGGTAAGTTTTATGATTAAAGCAATCCAAAAATATGGTGACTGACCATCTGTCAGGGATCTGCTAACTCGTTCAGTTCAATAGAAATACAATGCAAGCAAATTTTATGATTAGATATGTGATTAGCAGGAAAGTTTCAATTATATATTTTATTTAACTCAATATATCCAAATATTATCGCATCAACATGTAATCATAAAAATTAATGAGATATTTTACATTTCATTTGGGTTCATAACATTTCAAATGCTCATCAGCCACATGTGGCTGATGTCTACTGTACTGGACTATGCCCCTCCAGGGTGGGAAACTTCTAAGTTTCTGTGAAATTCCTTTGTCATTTTCCTGGTGACTTTAGCATAAAGATAACCAGTGTCACTGTGTAAAGAATGGACCTGCCTTAGAGATGCTGACATGAGCCGTCTGACAAAGAGATCAAAAAACATCTTGGACATCTGAAGATTATTCTAGAAAAAAGTGGTTTTATGTTTAGGAATTAGTATCCTAAATATAGGAGTATGTGAGTAGGGAATTGCTCAAAGGAAGGGGTAACTGGAATGGCTCCTTCGCCTTCATGGCTACTGGTATGTTGGGGAGGAGGGCCTCCCCAGGACCCTTGTTAAGTACATTTGAGGAGGTCACAGGATTTGCAGTGCATGTGTTATATGGCACACAATTCTGACTTCAAACAGATGTGGTAATGACACCGCAGTCTACAGGTATCAAAGGTGGTGTGGGACACACTCCATATGCACACACACAAATCACAGCCATGCCTCAGGATGTGGAGCAGGGACCCTGAGGGACAGGCAGAAATACACAGTGGTGAGTGTGTAGCATGGCTGACACCTGAATTAAATTACAGACACCAGCACTGACAAGATGAACACGTATCCAAAAAGTCCTGCTACTACAGCTCAGTCTGGGGGCAACCCACAGAAACGATGAGGTAGTAAAGTCTCCCTGGGGGAATAAAAAGACACATTATTGAAATATTTTTCTCCCATCACACCTATCAACCAGATTGGCAAAGTATAAAATGCTAAGAGAACTTTCAGGAGTCGATCAGACGATACTCTCTGTCCCCAGGCCTTGGTGTTAAAAAGTTCCTCAGAGGGGAAGAGGGTGATAACTACAAGAAATCCCCCCCACCTCATCAAGAATACCTTTGGGCAATTGTTCAATGTACCAGGTATGTCTGGCCTTGTTGTCTCCACAATACAACTATTCAGGATTTGCTCTCTCAGCAACCACAGGAGACAATTGCCCAGTTGAGCTACTCTGGTCTGAGGAATACTCACTCCATTATCCACTCGCCCCATAGTCACCCCTCACTTACTCTACCATATAATCCACTTTGGATGGCTCAGGAGATAATGAAGGGGAGCAAAGACCTACTACTGAATCATAAAGTAACGAGACTCACTTAGTAGTGGCTGTCTGTACAGACAGTTGCAAGGGTTGTGTTTTGTCTTGTTCTCTCCAGTTCAATTATGTTTTGGAAGAAACTTGGGCTCATGGCTCCTAAACTAGTAATAATGGTAAAATCAAATAGCTTAGCAATCTCTTTTGCCTTTTGTATTAGCAGAGCCAAAACTTTACCTCTTTTCTCCAAGCTTGCACTTGAGGACTTAATTCATTAGACCTCTCAGAAATTTCACCATCTATGCTAATGAAAAACTCATCTTAGGCTCAGAAAAATGACTTCAGGGGCTTGTTAGAGTATAGATGGCCTTGTAGAGTTGTAACCAAAGAGAGAAAATTCCCTTGAACCCATACAGAGCAAAAGTGGCAGAGTCTTCTGTACCTCCCAGCAGACAGGTAGTCACTGTTGCAGATGCTGCCACTAAGTGTTAGAAGAGGTGAGTTCCACTCAAGGCCGCCGAGACATTCCTGTATTCCTACAAGTAGTACCTTGTATACCATGCAACATGGGTAAGTACCACTTATTCTATGAGGCTTTATCTTAAAACTTCCTATTAGAGGCAAGATTTTTATATATGACTTCTGCTTCTAAATGTGATGCTCAGGAACATAAACTAAAAGGACTTAGCCTGAAGCAACCTAAATTCCTAAAGGAGGAAGAGGCTTCTGGAACTGTCAAAGCTGAAGAGGGAGCATTCTCAGTGAATACCAGAAACTGGGGAAAAGAGGGGGCAGTGATGATGAGATTGAGAAGCATCAGAAAACCAAGGAGGCACTTCTGAGGTCATTTAACTCATTCATTCACCAGAGATTGCTGTTCCTGGAATTGTCCATCATCGGCTGGGTCCATACAAGCCAACTGGAATATTTCCTGGGGGGAGAGCGGACTCATTGAAGGGTATCCACTCCGACCACTCCTGAAAAGCAATATCAAATTCAGAGATAATGAGAGACACAGGGGAAAAAAAAAAGCCATGGCATAACTTCCACTAACAAGCCCTATCCCACATAAGATCTCTTTCCCTTCTGGACAACACCCTGCACTCTTGGCTAGCCTATGAGTCTTGTGACTTACAGGTAGCTGGCCCCAGAACAGAAGATGTTGAAGAAAGTATCAGAAAACATAGAAGCTGTTGTTTTCAACTTGCATTTGGAATCATTCATCATTCTGCTGGCGACCAGCATATCTGTGACAAATGACATCATTTGTCACACTTAGCCATATGGAAGACCAGTACTAGATTGTAAACCTGTTTCTGTTGAGTTTCCCCATTGGGTGTAAAAATGCCATAGTTTAAACACTGAACAGCTTGTTTAAATATTAAGCAGCCATAGTCTTTTTAAAAATTTCCCCACTCTTAGTAATGTGGTCTTACTGTGCCAGCATCCGTGGCCAAACTAAATTCAATCCAATTTAATTCCATGAACATTTACTGAAGGTCTTCTCTGTGCTGTTCATTGTGCCTTTTGTTTGTGAACTGGGAGATGATTTCACAGGTGGTGTGGAGGAAGTAAAGACCTCTGAATTGATGGCTATGTAGGAGGTTTAAATGGTGAAGTAGGGACAAAGGCAATGTCTGCCAAGTGATTAGGAAGCCTGCAAATGAAAGGCATTGGCAGTGCCATAGTAGATTGTTATCAAGCCAGTTTGGTCCAGATATTCCTATACAATAAGATCCTTGGAGGTGGTTAGAAAAGGACAGCTGATTTTTGCTGAATATTTGGCTTCTGTCATCATTCACTACCATTAGCAGCTGCCATTATCCTGATCAAGGATTCAGAGTTAGCATCCTGATTACTGGAAGGGGATAGAGGCCAGTGCTACATAGCTCTATTAGAGGTGGTAGGTCTAAGGCTGTGACACCATCTCTCCCAGGGTCAGTCTCCTGCTTGAGCAAACCCCATTTCATAGTTGAGTCTACTGCTGCCAATTCTGCATCCAGTGGAAAATTGGAGAAATGAACAAGGATTGCCAGTTACTTAAAGATAATCTATAGCTATTATATTACTAAGTTAGTATCAAAGAGAAGATTTGAACAGTAGAGAATCATCTAGTGGGTCCCCTAACTGCCAGTGAGAGTCTTAGCTGAGTTTTCACAGCTCCCACAGAGCCATTTGATATTTAAATGACCTGTCTAAATATCAGTCCTTTCTTGGTGTGCCTTCTCTTGAAAATCAAGGGAAAATGATGGGCACTGTGAGTATAGGACATAGACTCCTATTAGTACTATAGGGAATAAACAGAATCTTCAGTTGGTACAGAAGACCTTCTATGGTTTCAACATGTCCAAAAAAGTTCATGTATTTGAAGTTTTATTGCTAAAGTTGTATGTTAATGTTATTTGAAGATAAAGCACTTGGGAGGTAATTAGGATTTAATGAGGTCATGAGGGTAGAAGCCCCATGATATTAATGTCTTTATCAGAAGATGAAAAAAGGCCCAAAGATCCGAGTTAGTGAGTCTACTCTGTCTCAGTGTTCAATGCCCTCCACCATGATATACATCATGACAAAAAGGCCCCCGCCAGATATGGCAGCATGCTCTTGAGCATCCCAGGATCCAGAACTGTGAGCCAATTATAACTCCGTTCCTTATAAACTACTGGTCCAAGGTCTTTTTTTCTTAGAGTAATAGAAAATAGATTGACAGGGCCCTCGGAATCACTGAACAACTTCACAGGCTTGAAAAATTTGAATATAGAGTGATTATCTACTTTAAAAACCTTGTGAGGCTTCTTGTTTTTAGGGTAAGTTCACATCACATGGCCTCTCTCATGTTCTGGTTCTACCTCACCTGTCTCCCCTGTCATTCCTTTCCTTTGCACTAAGAATTTCCAACACTGGCTGTCTTTAGTTTGTTGAATGCAATAAACAGGCTTCCACTTTCTGCTTAAGATTTTAATATGGATTGTTCCCAGAGTGCTTTTCTTCAGCTCCTCTGCCTCTCATAAACTCTTTTCATATACTTTGGAATTTTCTTACCAAAATTCATTTCCTTAAGATCATGTTTTTGATCTACCATAATCCTTTAGAACTGCTTC